CTCGCCCATTTTGTAAGGCTGTCTAATTGTAAGCTCCTAGTGACCACAAACTGATCAAAATCTGTTTGTCATCACACAGCTATACTTATATTTGTCATAATAGCATTTAAAATGAGGATTACCAAAGCTAATATTAATAATGATAATAGAATTGATGCTTTTTACTTTCTCTTACAAAAATGAACTTATCGATCCAGCCTATCCTCAATCATCAAGTAAATTTTTGTGTTTGTGTGTTTGTATGTGTCTAGATTATTCTTGTTTCACAGCCAAGATACAAATGGCCAACCATTTTAGAGAAGACTCTCATGCTTCTATTCAGTCTTGAGCTCTGTGGAATCTGAAGTTAATGCAGCCAGGACTCATAGCAAAGTTAACTAGATAGGGGTTATTTCGTGGGAGGCGCTTCCCAGGTCAGAGTGTGAAATACAAGTTGCAGGAAACTTAGTGGAACTTCTTTCCTTGGAGATTTTGAGGTCCAGCAGAACTCATCTTCTTTATATTATGGGAATGTGGGCCGGATGGGTCTCAAGAGCTAACTCAGTCAAAGTCAAATTTTTGATTAACTGACCATTGGATTTGCCTTCTCCATCAGGCACTATTGGATCTGACATCCTTATCGTCATAAGAGAAGCATTTGAAAATACTAAATCATACATTTCAGAACAAGAATGAACTTCCAAGACTATCTGGCCCCTTGCCTTCATTTTACAAATGGGGAACGCAGCCCAGTAAGGAAAAGGGACATAAATGTGGTGGCATAACCATCAGGCGTAGAGCTGGATTTAAGTACAGGTCTTCTCCCACCTCTCCTTACTAAATACAGAAGTACAAGTGAAAGTGCTCGCTTGCCTAGGAGATCAGGGAGTCCTGGGGACTTTGCTGGACTCTGCATGAGTATGCAAGGAATTTCTCCTCAGGAAGCTGAGGGTCTTCCCCAGCCTAAGCCTTTGGTACTGCCCCAGCTCTCACAGCCTCACAATGAATAAAAGAGGCTGCTTTTCACCCCCTTAGGCAGCCCCAAGGTCATAACTTAACCTGCGTAATTAGAACATCCATTCCAGAGGGGGAAACATTTAAAAGATAAAGGACCTCTTTAAAACAGATCCTTCCCAATACATTTTTTTCATAATTATAGTTTTAAAAGCTTATGGTGATGGGAGAGCTGGCCACTTAAGAAAAATTAGGAGTCTCATTTGGCAGGAGAAGATTCCCCAGGGGACGACGCACTGTCATTTTTCAGGACCCCTGAAAAGAAACCCCCACACAGACAGATACATGTCAGCCTGATGCTCGGCAAGCCTGCCTCACTTATTATGGCCAAAGCCAGATATTTTAATTAAAAACACTACATACACCATTAAATGTGTTGTTCCCCCTGCAGCCCCAAGACGTTATAGTTCGAGGAGATACAAAACAAGTGAATGCATTACAGATGTACACGGAAACCACCGCCTACTGAGTCACAACCAGCGGGTTCCCAAATTCCAGGCTCGGAGCACCTCCCTGTCAAAATGCTCTTTGCAAGCAAACTGTTCCCTCTGTAATTTTCACAGTTTATGGCAGTTGCCATGACAGGAGAAGAGGGCCATGGGGAGGCGGGGAAGAGAGACACACGCCGCCACCTCACTTACTTTATAAGCAGATTCCATTCTTTTACAAATAACCTTCATGATAAATAAGGTCCTATGGCCACGCATGGGATCGTGGTTTCGTTTTGTTTTGTTTGCTGCTTCCTTGTTAGTGTCATTTATTTATTTATATATTTTTGGAACACGAAAGTCCCACGTGAGGAATAATCACCTCCCAACTGTGAGCTCGGGTAGGAGCCTCCACAGAGGCAATACTTGCTTAATTTAAGCAATTGGAGGGGGTGTGAGTTCAAACACCTCAGCCGATTCTAACTGTCACTAGCCAGACCACCTTTCTCCCCAGGAGAGCACCAACAGCTGAATTTCATTTTTGGCTGCCAGGCCGCCGTCCCTTCCTGGAGCAGCCCACAGACTGAGAGCCTTCCCTTTAAGGATTTTATTCAAGGTGACAGCTCCTCGCACGTTGGCAGTCTGATCACCTCAAGTAGCCGAGATAGCAGGGGGCTGAGTGTAGTCCTCCTGCTAAGTCCAAATTTAGATTGACTGAGGTTATCCTTAGGCCCCTTGACCCCGAGTGCTCTGACAGAACAGGGCCGCCCGGAACTTACAGCAGCGCGTTTTGTAATGATGTCTGGGGAGAAATGTTCTGCAGGAGCGGGCGGAGAAGACCCCAAGTGATAGGGAGTGATGTCAGCTTTCGTTAGAGCCGCAGACAGTGTTAGAATATCCTTGGCATAATATGGCACAGGTATCTCTGTCAGCATCTCTGTTTTCTGTCACCGCACACAATCCTGGGCCTGTCTCTTGCCCTGACAGTGTCTTTTCAGATCAGGTTATTGCCAGCACAGAGACTGGCTCTGCTCCCCACCACACAGCCCTTTGTTTGAAGTCTGCCCTTTTGTCATCATGCACTTGATGTCTATTTAAACCTGACGGTGAGAGCGGTATCTGTTTTCCCGTCAAGAGATCATTGACAATATTAATACCTCATGTCCTTGCCTCATTTTCCAAGCTCTGACACCTCGCCAGTCTCCCACATTCATCAAACAGCCCTCTCTCCCCGGGATGTCTATAAACATCTTGCTTCCGGGCCCTAAGGAACAGGGCAGGCCTTAAAAAGGACTTTCATCAGTGCCGACCAGAAAGAAGGCCTGGGGAACGTGGCTCAGAATACTTCACCTCCCTCCACATTACTGCCCACATTCCAGGAGTAGCCCCTTGTTTCCAAGATGGCACTTGCCATCCAGGTGGTATAGGCAAGTTCTGGAGTTGATGGTTACCAAGGAGAGAGGGGAGTGTAAAGAAATTCAATCCCAGAACGCACTGGAGGATTTACTGGAGGGAATGTACCCAGCTCGTGGGGTGTGTGTGTGTGTGTGTGTGTCTGTGTGTGTGTGTATGTGTGTGTGTGTCTGTGTGTGCGCATGCGTGCACATGTGCCCGTGTCTGCCTTTTGTTCTTTTACTCAAGAGAAAGACTGTACTCTTTATGATATCTGACAGCCCTATCCATTTCTTTTTATAAAAATTCATGCTGTCCTGGTGCTGTAGAAAGAAATTAACATCCTTGGCCTTGTCCTTCCAGATTCTTGAGGGTTTGTTTGAGTCACTTATGTTTAAGGAAGCCCTTTGTGGATTTTCAGAAACATCTGAGATGCTCCCACCCAGGCCTGTAGGGGATGCTGTTCCTGGAACAGAACCTGGCAAGCCAAGCCTAACCAACAGGCCAGTTCTCAGCGTTGGTGACAATATTAGCACAACTACAGGGCTATGTAATTACGATACAGTAAAGGGAGCTGTTTGGTGCCAACAGCGAAGGGAATACTTTTTAGCCCAAGGAGCGTTTCAGGGAGGTTTTATCGAGGCTTGATGCTTCCAGGCACCTAATTTCTGAAAAGCAGAAATTGGGGATTGGGGCCAAAGAGAAAGCATGGCCAAGGTAGGTGGGGGTGGGGTGGAGTGTTGCACAGTAATCTTGTTCACAGAAATGTGACAAATTGAAGTAATAAGAGCAATCCCAAGACCAGTCTGAGGCAGCAGAACAATGTCACCCTCTCCCCTTTTCCAACTCTCAAGAGATCCTGTGACCCCAGTAATTCCTGACTTTGTCCTAAGCCATCCAAACCATGGAACATCTGCCCAGTCCTTAACGGTTTCTAAGAGCCATTTTTAATCTTTATTTAAGAATAATATTTAAAGTTCTGTAGTAGAGAAACATCTCTTGTACAATCACAAAAATATTTACTGCTTAGAACTGCTGTGAAGAACCTGGATGATCTCAAGTGCTCATTTACCCCAGATGAATATTAGATGGTGACTGTTCATTTCACACTATCAAACAGAGAAACAAATAACCATGCATATGGGTAGCTATTTGTACAGGCAGATTTGTGGTTCATGAATTAATGTTTTATGGACACTCCTTTGCTTATTTCTGGTCATGCACACTTCAGAGACTCAAGGGCTCTTAGTAATAAGGCAATTCTGTGGAGCTGAATTTTAAGTTAGTTTTTCTAAAATTAGAAGAAAAAAAAAACACAAGACAGCAAAAAGCAAACTATAATTATAAATGTTTTCTTTGAGAAAAATTGATTTGCCCTTAATAATCACACAGAGCTTCCATACTAACTGTGGCGGGTAATTTCTTACAGATATATAGAATAAATATTGAGTTGGTTAGAAGATTTGACCCTATTCTGGGGGTATTTTTCATACTTAAATTCTCCTACAGTCTCCTGGAATGAAACAAAAACTGTACTTAGAGCCATAAGACTATTTAAGCTAAAACTAAAGATGAAAATCAAAGGCATTCCAACCTGAGGATTCATTTCATGCCTCCTGTAAGAAGAGGCCCTTTAATGTCAGTGGCTATTGTGACTTTCCATGTGGTAGTTTGTCAACACCTTCACTCTTCCTTGATCACCCACTAGGCACCTGATGCCTCCTGGGATTCAGAAGATTCTCCCTGGAAGCTAATAATATTGATTCATGAAAAAGGACTTGAAAAGAGTCACATTCTGGGAAGACTGTCTTACATCTTTTGCTTGGGCCAGACCCATCTTGGAAGTCTGACCCTTCCATTTTTAGAAACTCTATTAAGGGACCCTAGAGAGGGAAGGGGTTATTATGCTTTATTGAGTAGTCCTTGGCCAAACTAGAAAAGTCTCTGAAATGTGGAGGAGAATTCGTGCAGGAAAAGTGTGATTCTTAGGTGCCTGTGCTCTGGTGACATTTTACTTGAGTGTCAACTCTGAGGACAAGAAAGTAGGGTCCTTTCCTCCTGGGGCTTAATCCACTTGCTGCCGCCCACCAGATCTGTGACCCTGTTGTGTATCTGCTTTACTGCACCTGTGTTTCCTTGCTATACTAACTGTGCCACCTCTAAAGATGTGTTTCCTTTTCTTTGCAGGTGTCCTGGGAAAGTGTCGCTATGTTTACTATGGGAAAAACTCAGAGGGCAACAGGTTTATCCGAGATGACCAGCTCTGATGGCAAGTTCCGAATGCTTTAGCCTGTGTCATGAGAATAAAAGATAAAGGGAAAGTAAAAATAAAGAAAACACTGAAGGAAAAAACAATGGCCCATATCGAATCTCTGTGGGAAGGCTGTGACTTCAGCTCTTGGTACCTTCTGCTGACTTTGCCAGGCCTGTCAAGATCATCCTTCTGCCTTAGACTGAGTGGTCGCATAGAGATTGACATGATTGCCCTTAAGCAGGTCTCATCCACTAGGGTGACAGACAGCGGCGGCGAAGCACCAGGGCTGACAGGAGGAACACCATGATAGATTGCCTGGTCCCTCCACTGCTCACAGGGGAGCAGAGGTCACACCTGGGGCCTCCCTGAGCATGCTCACTGGCCGTAGTCAAGCAAGAGAGACTGTGTCTTCAGCTTGCCTATTGAGTAGAGATCCCTGTGATACCATTGTGCTGTGGGTTTATTTTTAGTGAAATCATCGTAGTTTGGAAGAAGGCCACCCTCCCTTATTCACCTTGAATTTTAATCCCTCATTTTCTGCACACACCCACACATACACACACAGCACATACCTTTCTTTAGCATCGTTATTTCATGTAGTACATTTTGGCTTGCAGTTTTTCAGAGAACTGAAGCTATGTGTTCTCAGCCAGGTCATACATTTATGGCTGGCTTTGTGTTCTTACAACTGGAGTAAATAGCTTTCCTTAAATCCCTAACTACAAAAGCATGGACTCTATCTTGTTTTGTACATTCCTAAATCCACTTCTTGCCCTGAATACCAGGCAATGTCAGGTATCGTTCCTGGCACCAAGTTCTGGTTCCACCAAGGACTCTGATTTATGTATGTATGTATGTATGTGTGTGTGTATATATATATATGTATGTATGTTTTTTTTAACCACACACACATCCAGCTATGCCTGTGGCCGTATTTGTAGTTTGGAGCTGGCTTGCTCCTTTAGGTGCTGTTTCAAAGTAGTGAGGTGATGAAAACAGAGTCATGGGTCAGGAAGTTAAAAAAGAAAGTGAGAACTATAGAAAACACCCACCAGACCAAACAGTTTTTAGCAGAAGGCACAAACCCTTGGAGTTTGTATCTTCTGCAGTACCTCTCAGAACTGAAATCCATAGCTCACAAGATTGTCTTTGTGTGCCTTTGGCTATATTCCAGCATCATTACAAGGAAAGTAAGCACAATCATACTAGTAAGGTGGCTATCATTTCATTTAACGGATTGATACACCAGTAAAATCACTCCAGAAGATATGTGAAAGGCTGGTTGCTCTTGACACAATCACATTTATTTTTGCTTCCTCTGTTTAGACCAGGTGTTCATCTGCTTGGATCTCCCAGTGTTAGGTTAGATTGAGGACAACAGAACTTGAAAGAGAACGCTTCCAAGTTATAGGTACCACATAACTAGAGAGTCACTACTGTAAAAGTCTTTTGGTATTCAAAATCCCTGAGGACCCAAGAAGAATCCACTTTCTCAGTTCTAGACCATTTGTGTGGCCACTGGGCTCCTGAGTCAACTTAGTCCTTGAATGACTTGCAAGAAGGCTGGCAGGAATCCCTCTTGTAGGTTTTGCAAGTTAATCAGTTACTGAGACAAATTTTGATCAAAATCCTTGAGGCCACTAATAATTCAAGGATATTAAAGATTTGCCTTTATCTCTCAAATTCATTAATAACCAGAGCTGAGTACCTTTTCACTATTTGATCTATGGAACAGCATTGGGATAATGCTTTAAATTAGCTGCATGAAGTCCCACCCTGGTTCTTTGTTTAGAAGCACTAACACGTGTTTTGTCCATGGCATATTATGGGCAGCCAGATTTTGGTGCAAGGGCAGCTAGACTAGTCCAATGTCATATTTAATCTAGCGGCACATATATCCTTGTCTTTATAAAAGGCTTTAACCCTGCCTCAAACAATAAAAAAGCACTTGTGAACTGACCACAGAATTTTTCCATCTTTATTTTTCTTACTTGTTTACTTTTCTTAATGTCAGAACCATTTGTATCATGCACAGGAATGTCTCCCTCAATGTGAGCTTTGGAGGCAAAAAAATATTTTTGGAGTGAGTTATTGACCACATTGTTTCCTTCTCTTTGGGTTGTTTATTTTCTTCCAAAATGGTGTAATAACTTTAATTAAAATTAGCTTTAATTATAATTTACGTAAAGGCCATCACTATGGTATATTCTTCTTAATGATAGAATTGTTATGAGTTTTGTTTCTCTTAAAAAGGGATAATGATAATGAATCAGTGTTGGGTTGTTTACAGTTCCAAGATTTGCTGTGCTACAGCTAGATTTTGGTCTGAATTGGTAGAGGAGGAAGTGATGTTGCATGCTTAAATCTATAAGAATTTCCCAAACCTTGTTTTTTAAAGTAGAAAATTAGAAGGTAATGAATTCAAAGCTCAGAATTCTTTTATGCCCCCAATTTCCCCTTGCTCCTTCTGCCTTTTACTCTATTCCAATGAGCTTTCTCTTAGGAGATCACGGTATCTGACATCTCTGTATCCTCTCTCCCAGGACACCGATTTGCTGTGAGTGCCCCTGCAGTAGAAGGCCATCCTGGAGTCTTCTGTTGCCTCTGCAAAGTCAGGGTGGACTGTCTTTTTCCTAAGTAATGCAATTTTATAGAACAATTTGTTCCTTGGGGAATAATGTTTTAGATTGTGGGGAATCCTATTAAAAGTACAACTATTACAATAATTTGCTTTCACTTTTACCAGCCTTGCTCATAAACCCTCCATCTGTTTGTTGCTTTAAATAGAGGCACTTTATAAGAGATTATCACTCGATCAGGCGACATGTCTGAATGTTGTGCATTTTCACATATTCACGTATACTAAGGAATAAAAGGAAGCAAACCAGAGATTCTGGATGAAAGGATTTTGCATTTGTTTTATTTTGTTTCGTTTCATTTCGTTCATTTTGGGGTGTGTGTGTGTGTGTGTGTGTGTGTGTGTGAATGTGTTCCAGCAGACATGTATCTTGTACATCTTTAAGGGAAAATCTTTCTTGCTGTTTCTAAGAAATAACCTGGCTGTCTTTTCCTTCTTTGTTAATATGCAGATCAAAAAAATCCACGGGGCTCTTTTCATCAAAAACAATAACAGTGTTCAGGAGTTGCTACTCGTAAAAGCAGCCTAAGTCAGATCTGTGTCACTACCTAATGCCAAGGGTGGACAACACAGGGTCCGTTGAGACTCTTGCATGGTGTCTATCCATAGCAGCTGATCCACTATGACCTTCACCATCTGCTTATCTCAATTCTGTTTCCAAGAAGACTTTGCCGAAGAAGGGTGTTTCCATTACTTGCCCTGCTCCCTCTAACTTGTCCAAATACCATGTGGTAAACTACCGTGACTAGGACCTGGGAAGGAAAATGAGACCAGAGGAGCACAAAACCTGTTGGTTACTTATTTGTATGACAAACAGACCATCAGCCCGTAGTGCAATACTGTGTATCACTTCCAACCCGTCAGTGAACACTTCAGGGATTTGAAGAATATTAGAAAACACAGCCACTGTCCAAGAATACCATCTTGCTCTATGTCTACCTGAAATTTCCCAGCATTAGTAGTCTTCCTTTGGGGAACTGTAATGTTAATTTGTCACTTTGTGGATAAAGCAGATAATGTTATGCTATTTGTACATTTTAACATATTAGCATGTGTAAATTTTTCTAAAGTGGCATGGAATGTGGCCTGGTGAACATGCAACCTAGGACATGGGAGTTTAGCTAGAAACAAAAGACATTTAAGTATGGAATGTGTCTGGGAGTGAGTCGCTAAAGTAGGGGTGATGTATATGGTAATATATGAAATTATACCAAAGGAGAGCATGAGGCAGAGTGTGGAATTGAAGTGTGGGCTCATTGTAAACAGGGATAAATCAGGAGCTGAGGGATATCAAGAAAGGAAGTGAAAAGACAGTTTTTGCCAATTAGAAGGGTTGCTGATGTTCAGCCCTACAGTGATATTTAGTGACGTCTCCTCCTCAAAATGGAACCTTTGATATAAGTGAGGAGTGCCACTATCCAGTAATGTTCTACAAGCTACTCTGCCCAAGACAATGGAACAGCAAAGAAAACATGGGTTACAAAACCCTGTTAGCATAAATGGCCATGTGTGTGCTGACTGCCTATGGACAAAGATGACTATGGCATGTGGTTAATGTTCAACAAAACTCAGCATCGTAAGGTAAGTTCCCTTGCTGCTTGGACCAGCTGAAATAGAAGGGAAACAACTTGTTGTCTGGGCAGTTAGATCAAAGACAGAAAATAGTTTCACGCTCTTGCCAAATCTTCATGTGTTCATTAAGTTCCGGTAGGAGATAGGGGGCTTCCTTGACAATATGATGCAAAAGCCAAGATATTTAAGGAAAACAATGAAGGCCTCTATGTGGGGCTGAAGATGCTGCGACAGGAAGATGCCAGTAATAGGATTTGACTGTCTCTAGGTTCAGGCAGTAACTGGTAACTCAACTTGTAGGACAAGTGGATGACACCTAAGTTCAACTGGATAGCTTCAATTAGCATGTAGAATAATTGGGAAATAATTAATGTTTATGTTTTCTCTCATCATTTACCTTAAACCAGCGTTTCCTCTTCCATGTTGGAATAATTCCTTCAGTCTTAGAAATAAGAATGGCTTTGAAAGCTACTGGGAATAATTTCTTTTCAATACTAACTTTTCAATTTGACTCCTTGTGATAAGAGGGACATAGATGGCTCGTGGTGGACTTTACCACAGTATTTAGACTGTTAAGTTATGGAGCTTTGAAATAGGTAAGAATTAATATACATTATCCATTCACAGAGGTTACTAAATCATAGCTTAATGATCCAGGCATGCTTCACTTTACTGAGCTTTGCTTTATTGTGCTTTGCACATACAAATTGTGGGTTTGTTTGTTTGTTTCTTTGTTTTTCCAGTTGAAGGTTTGCAGCAAGTCTGTGTTGACCAAGTATGTTGGTGTGATTTTTTTCCAGCAGCATTTCCTCACTTTGTGTCTCGGTATCACATTTTAGTAATTCTCACAATATTTCAAGCTTTTTCATTGTTATTATATTTGCTGTGATGATCTGTGATCAGCAGTTATGGCTTGCTGAATGTTCAGAGGATGGTTAGCACTTTTTAGCCATAAAGTATTTTTTAATTAAGGTATGCACGTTGTTTTTTTAGACATAATGATGTTGCACACTTAATAGACTACAGTATAGTGTAAACATAACTTACTTGCACTGAGAAACCAAAACTTTCATTTGACTTGCTTTATTGCGATATTCATTTTATTGTTGTGGCCTGGAACCAAACCTGCAAATCTCAGAAGTGTGCTTATATTCACCTGTTCTGTTCTATCCTTAAATCAAAGCCAACAAACCCAGATTCTATGCACCATGTCCTGTGCTTTTTCTGTATTTATAGGCTAGAAGACCAGCATGTTTTCTAGAAATCCCCCTTTCCCTTTTTGCTTCCAACCAGTTTAATCTGTTCTTATCTCTTTGATCATATATTCCTTTCTGTATGTCTGACTTCAGTGTCATTTCTAATTTTGGCCATTCATTCTCATTTAGTTTTAGTAATCTTTCAGACATTCCTTGTGGCTCAACTATTCTACCTTGGGCTTTTGCACTGCTATTCAGACCTTTACTTTCCTCAATCCTTTGATGTCCCCAGTTGCCTTGGGTAAGAAATTCCATTTCAGGCTGCTGTAATTCCAGCCCTGACTAGTTCACACCCTTTGGGGGAAGATTAGGGTGCGGTGGGGGTGGATTTGGACATCACTTGCTTGATGTATATTTAAAAATTTTTAGTCCTGTTAACACTCAACACTGGTTTAATTTCCAGCTAAAAATCCTAAACTGTGACTTATAGCTGGTTTCATTTACTGAAGGCTAAGTTTTATCTGTGATGGTTTCTCTTATCTTTGCATTTTTATCCATTTAGCTATTAAAGCAATTCCCAATGGTTTTTAGTTCTTCTCATGAAATCTGTTTCTCTCTTCTGTACAGTTTGGCAGAATCCAGGTAAGACTACAGCCTTCTGTTCATTAATGCCTGTATATGAGAAGAATGGACCCCACATTTGCCTTTCCTCCAATTATACAGCACTATTTCTCCCCACCTAAAGAGAACCAAGAACTATTGTGCATGTAGATACATATGTAATTCCTTCTTTATATACAAATCAGTACATATACAATATCCTGCACCTTATTTTTCCACTTAACATCCCTTAAAGAACAAAGATGAATGATGTGATGGTTAATTTCATGTATCCACTTCACTGCCCATGGGATGCCCATGTTCAACATTATTTCTGGTGTCTCCATAAGGGTGTTTCCAGATGAGATTATCATTGAACAGGGGGACCCAGTAATGTAGATTTCATTTCCCAATGTGGGTAGGCAGCATCCAATCCCTTGAGGGCCTGAAGAAAACCAAAGGTGGAGAAAGGAATTTTCCCTTTTTTCCCTGCCTCACTGCTTGAGCTGAAAACTCATCTTATCTTCTCCTGCCTTTGGACTGAGATTTACACCATTAGTTCTCCTGGTTCTCAGGCCTTTGGATTCTGGCTGGAAAATGGCACTGATTTCCTGGGTTTCTGGCTTGCAGATGGTAGATAGTGGAACTTGTCAAGCTCCATAATCTCATGAACCAATTCCTTATAATAAATGCCATACAATCCTGAAAAAGATAGGCAGTATAATGTTGCTAAAAGAAATGCTAAATCAAAAAAGATATTATGATCTTGAATACGTATATACCTATCAATATGGGCTCCCATATATAAAACAACTGAAAGAACAATGTGGAGAGAAAAACAAGCAATTTTAGTTGAAATTTTGTAGGCATTTCTTATGTAGAGTGTTTCAAAAGTCTTAGTAGAGTCTGATGCTTTAATGACTCTGGAAATTTAAATGATCCAGCTACAAATATATCACTTGGGGGGCACCTGGGTGGCTCAGTCAGTTGAGCGTCCGACTTTGGCTCAGGTCACGATCTCACGGTTCGTGGGTTCGAGCCCCGTGTTGGGCTCTGTGATGACAGCCGGCTCAGAGCCGGGATGCTGTTTCAGATTCTGTATCTCCCTCTCTCTCTGACCCTCCCCTGCTCATGCTCTCTCTCTCTCTCTCTCTCTTGCTCTCTCTCTCTCAGAAACAAATAAAACATAAAAAAATATCATTTGGTTGTACAATTATTTATATTGCCCTTCTACTTACTTCTGTGGGTTTAAATGTAAATTTTTAATTTTAACTGATTTGGGTGTAATAGTTTCTGAATGACACTTTCTCAGACAATGGCTCAGTAGCGGAAATCTACTTCTTGGCCACTAGGCCACCTGATCTATCTCCATTAGATTTTTTTCCTTGTGAGGTCATGTTCAAACTGTCATGTGTTTATCAAAACCTCCTTCTTGGAGGATCTTGAGGCCATGACTATAAAGACTATTCTTTCTGTCACTGAGCAACAGCTGAGAAAAGTTTTTATAAAATTTGAAAATTGACTAGAGTGATGTGTAGCACAAGACAGTAGTTATATTGAATTTTAATAAGAAACATATCAGGGTGCCCGGGTGGCTCAATTGGTTGAGCACTGACTTCAGCTCAGGTCATGATCTTGCAGTCCATGAGTTTAAGCTCTGTGTCAGGGTCTATGTTGACAGCTTAGAGCTTATTATTCTACTTCATCTTTTCTTCCCTTTTCAGTGTCAACTCTGTCATGGCCAAGTTTGTGTAGACAACTTGGAATTATATCTGGATTTCCCGTTTATTCAATGTGTGTAACTACCCTAATTCTAATTGTTATAACTGTGCAATTTTTCTTCTTCCTCTCTTTCCTTCATTTCTATCTTCTTTCCTTCCTCCTTCCATCTTTCCTT